TGGCAGTGTGGTATTGCTTCTCACAGCTAACCATTGAAATAAAATATTTCAATAAAATACTTCATTACAATTAAGATATGACAAGTCAGACATTGGTGGCACACATTTTTATCCCACCACATGAGAGGCAGAGGCAGGAGGATCTCTGTGAGTTCAAGTCCAGCCTGGTCTACAAAGCAAGTTCCAGGACAGGCTCCAAAGCTACACAGAGGAAGAAGAAATAAATGACAGCTTAGTGAAGCAAGGATGCTTCCTAAACCATCAAGATCCAACACTGAGTCAATGCCAAGACATTTGGGGAGGTATGAGTCCCGGAAAGCTCAATGGGGGAATGGTGGAAAGTTATTTCTCACTAGCTGACAGGTTGCATAGACTGCAACCCAGGAGACCTGTGCCCTGTTTTAATTGGGTTATTTGTTTCCTTGATGTCCAGTTCTTAATTATATTGATCCACTATCAGATGTGTAGTTGGTAGAGATTTTTGCCTCATTCTGTAACCTGCCACTTTTCCCACATGATTGTGCTCTGGAAGCCACATCTGTGGGTCAGTCAGAAACTGTAAGCACATTCTTTCCAAGGAGAAATACCCAGCATTCTGGCAGAGAGGTCTCTCACATATATATTTTGTTTGCTTTAGACTTTTGTATTAGTGACTCTGATAACTGAGCACCTATCTGCAATGAGATTTGTTAGAACAGTTTTATTGGGGATGAAACGAATAATGCTTATGGTTTTCCTCCCTTGTCTTTAAGAAGGACCTTCATGACAGATGGTGGTGACACACGCCTTTAATCCCTGCACTCTGGGGATAGAAGCAGGCGGATGGATCTCTGTGAGTTCCAGGCCAGCCTTGTCTTCAAGTTTCCAGGACAGCCTCCAAACCTACAGAGAAACCCTGTCTGGAAAAAAAAAAAAAACAAAAGCAAAAGAAACAAAAAAGGACCTTCACCCGCCCTTCTGGATTGGTGAAGTGGAAGGGTTCTAGGGTCCAGACAGGAGGAGCATCTGCTTTGAGACTCAGGTGTACTTGAAGCAAAGTGGGAAAATGTAGAAGGCAGGACAAAGTAGCTACCAAGAGCTTCATTTTTAAGTAAAGTGACTCGACCATCTCCCTCTTCTCTTTCTCTGCGTTTAGCACAGAGAAACCTTCCCCGAGGGTCCTTGGATTCACTTAAAGGACTGGCTGGCAGTCTTCACCCATCTGTGGAGTGGTTTTGAAATAGCAAGGCTAAGAATCCTCTTCACTTGACAGTTTGATCCTCTATCCTAGATCTCTGTCTTTGAAAGCAATCTCCAACAGAGTCTTCTTGAGGCATTCTTCAAGAGTTTATGAGCTGAAAGATAAAGAAAGAAAACTATGCTTTTGTAACCCCAGTCCACAAGGACAGAGAGTCTAAAATTCCAAGGAAAAGATCATATTTTTCATAATGCACAGATTTCTTGGTATAAGTATTATATATGTATTATATTATCTATTAATCATTAGAAATTCTGCAATGTTTGATCCAGTGGAAACAGGCTGCATTTTTAAAATGCGCCTGAAATGTGAAAACATGACGTCTTTCCATTCTGCCTTCAGAAAACTTAAAAGATTCTGATGGGCAGAAAACAAAACAAACAAACAGCACATCGTGCTGAATGAGAAAAGCAAATAGGACCAGGACTGGGGAGGGGTGAGAAGGCTGTTTCAAACAAGGCATCAAGTAAAGGTAACTAAAATACTGGTGTGCCAGGAAGTGCAGAGTCTGTGCGAGTGTCTGGGGAAAGACCTTGTCTTATTGATTTTACCAGCAAAGATCCTGCACAGCCATGGAAGGCAGCCGTGTGAATGGAGAGCGATACAAAATGAAGTCAGAGAAGAAATTTATGGCCTTACGCTTCATGACTCTCCATGGGTGGTTTTTATTTTTCCTTTTTAAAATTTTCATTGAAAAAATTCATACAATATATCTGATCACACTTGTCCCTCCCCAACTCCTCCCAGATCCTTCCCACTTCCCACCACCCAAACCAATGCATGTCCTTTCGCATCTAAGAACAATGAAATATACGTAAACCACCACCCCAAAACACACAAAAGATGGAAACCAAAATATATAAGCGAAAGACCAACAAGATAAAAAGTGGCCAATGAAAACAAAATGGGGCCTAACGTTTACAAAAATATCACTGAATTTGTTTTATTCTGGTCAGCTACTGCTAGGCATGGGGCTTACCCTGAAGTTTGGTTAATATAACTAGTGAGACTGACTCCGTTGGAGGAAACTGCATTGGAGAAGTGTTCAGTTTATGTCATTAGGCAGATACACATTGTTGAATAACAATCGCCACCATACATCAATATCCAGAATTTTCTCATCATCCCAAAGTTACACTGTCTGTTAACCAAAACATTCCCGGTCCCCTCTGAACTCTAAATACCAGCAAAATTTCTTTTGTGTTTTCAAATATCTATTTTGTAGCTTGTATTGGGATTTGCTTTCCTTTAAAATGTGAGTAAGAGGGCTGGAGAGAAAGCTCGGTTGTTAAACCCTAAGACTTACAACCAATATCAGGCGGTGGTGGCACACACCTTTAATCCCAGCACTTGGAAGACAGAGGCAGGTGGATCTCCGTGAGTTCAAGGCCAGCCTGGTCTACAGGTCTACACTCTGGTCTACAAACCCCCACCTGGGACACAGCTATACCTTTAGGCACAGTTACCATTCTACCTGACATCTAAAGGCATAAAATATCAGTGTGTGTGTGCTCTATATGTGGGCAGTGGCTAGAGGGGAGAGTTTACCACATATTTCATAACTATGCAAGACATGAGTATTCTACAGCTTGTTACAATGTCCTTTCTCTTTGTCCTAGTTTGCTGTCTGTTGTTGGGATAACACAAGGCCTAAAGCAACTTGGGGCTGGGTGGGGTGGGGGGTTTATTTTAACCTGCAGTTCATAGTCCATTGTGACAGGAAGTGAGGGCAGGAATTTGAGACGGGAACTGAAGCAAAGGCCATGGAGGAGTGCTGCTTACTGGCTTGCTCTTCATGCTCTGTTCAGCCACCTTCCTTATATCTCCAGGGGTGGCACCTCTTATAGTGCACTGGGCCCTTCCACATCAATCATTAATCAAGAAAATGCCCCCCCCCATAGTGGCTCACAGTACAATGTGGTGGAGACATCTTCTCGGTTAAGGTTCCTCCTTCCAATTGACTCTAGTTTGTGCCACGTTGACAAAAAAACCAAAACCAACCAACCAAAAAACCCAACCAGTACTGAAGGGGAGACCCATACAAGGGGAGGGGTGGGGTAGGGAAGGTGGGGGAGGTAAGGGTAGGGGTGGGGGGTGCTGGATTTGGCACAAACCACATCCAAGCGTCTGTTTTCAGAGATCCTTTGTTAATCAGGGAAGACAAGTTAAAGCGGCTGCTTTCTGACTCAGGCAGAAAACAGCAGCAAATGATCTTGCAGCTGGCAAGGGGAGGTCTGTGTTACAATGGACCAGGAAGCAGTGGTGAAGGACATAGAGGACAAGGGAAGCGGGCAGAGGCGTTTGTCCCCGAGGAACAAAGGACTGACTGTATCTGGATAGAGGGTAGACGGATGTGGCACATAAGCACGGGGCGGTTTATAAAGGTAAACTGGGAAACCCCGTGCCAGGGTGAGGTGGTGCATTTTAATTGGGTAGTTATTTAGGTGGACCAAAGGGGACTTCTGATTGCTCAGCGTTGGTGGTCAGCCTCAGGGGGAGGAAGTGGCAAATAAACGCAGTACTACTGTTCTTTTCCGCTTTTGCGCACCACAATGGTCTTGTTAAAACCACCAACAACACAGACCGCTTCAAGCCCCGCAGTGTAAGCCTTTAATCCCAGCACTCAACAGGCAGAGGCAGCTGGATCTCTGAGTTCCAGGCTAGCCAGGAGTTCTAGGACAGCCAGGAGAAACTTCGTCTTGAAAAACAAAAACAAACAAACAAAAAACCCAACAACAGACCACTTCAGATGCCTTTTTTAAACTATTAGCTGTGGCTGTGTAACATATCTGCTAAGATTTGAATGCAGTCGGGCGAGTGTGGCGCACGCCTTTAATTCCAGCACTGGGGAGGCAGAGGCAGGTGGATCTCTGTGAGTCTGAGACCAGCCTGGTCTACAAGAGCTAGTTCCAGAACTGCCGCCAAAGCCGCAGAGAAACCCTGTCTCGAAAAACAACAACAAAAGACTTGAATGCGTACACTGATAGTATTTGAAGTGGGCACCCTACCTTTTCACAAGGGGTCGAATCTCATTAGTGAGGACTGACCAAGGTGTCCCAGTTCCCAACACCATGGGCACCAGGAACGTGTGGGTGTCTAAGATACTGAGACCACAGCAACCCCTTGCTGCCAGCTTTGTGCTTCAGTCCTACAAGAGAGTGAGCTCAGTTTCTGAGACTTGAGTGTTAGGTTTCAAACATGGGACAAATGGCTTGCCTATTTAACACATCAAAGCAAACCTGGCCACCAGGTGCCAGGTTCGTCCCTACCAGTTCCTGGGCCTTCCTCCATAGCACATCCAGCCCGCTATCCTAAGACTCCAGTCCAGGGCTCTGGGCTGCTCTTCCCTATGTAACCCAACCATTTTCGTTGCCCTCTTTTGTACCTTTGGGCTTCTCGGTTGCTGCACCTGGTTCTCCCCTCCCCCCTCTCCCTTCATCTCTCTCCTCATGTCTCAGGGACACCAAGAGTCTGCCTTTATTGAGGGCTTTTTAGAAAATATTAATGTATTCTTGTTTTGTGTGCCTTGGAGTTTTGCCTGCATGCATGTCTGTGTGAAGTGTTGGATCCTGGAGTTACAGACGATTGTGAGTTGAACTCGGGTCTTCTGGAAGAGCAGCTCCAGGTGGCTTTTATAGAGAACTTCCCAGACTTTCCAGAACCTGAAGCATTCTAGAACACACGGGTGAGGGGTGGTCCAAAGTTTTTTGAAGCGGAGACCGCTAGCTTTTAAACACCGCATCCAAGAAAACGTGGATTCCGGATTTTGCAGGCTGACTGCGGCGGGATGATCCTGGAGTTGCACCTGCCATTCCATTTCTTCTCCTCCGGGTCTTCGGGAGAGCTCAGGGGCATGAATAGAAAATGAGGACTCTGGGGTACGCAGAGCATCAGGCAGCCTAGAGACTGGTAGAAGTACAGTGATGGGGTCTTGTATTTGATGCTCGCAATTCTAAGGTGAGTCTTCTGGACGGTTGGAGACTGGGGCGCCTGCTGGAGCTAGCAGGACTACACCGCCGCTCTGCGCGGAAGCGGGGTGTAAGAGAAAACAGTTTGCTGGGCCCTGGCAAAGAACTCGCGTCTGCTGGATGAGCCTAGAAACCCTGGCAACGCCTTTTAGACCCCGAAACTGGGGTGCAAGCTGAGGTGGCCTCCAACAGCACAGATGGGAGCTTGTGACACTGGAGCCTTGGGCTGATGAGCAGTGAGGAGGAGCACAGTATCCCGAGGGTGTGATTTAGGGTTCTTCCCGGAGCAGCCAGCTCAACTTCCTTTGCAAGGCCCCAGGCAAAAGTCCCACTGCCCTGTTAGGTTGGGCACGGCTCCTGGTACCTGGGTGCTCATCCAGAAACATTTGTTGATAGAATCTTGTGCCCAGCCGAGTAGCAGTTTTCACTTTCATGTAGTGGAAACGTTGTGAATTTTTAGTATATACTTGCGAAGAGCCTGCAAGAGCTGGCTTTGATTATGCACACACACACACAAGTTGCCTTTTGGGGTTTTTGTAATCAGCTAGGGCACTCAATATGAGATTCATTTTGTATCATAAGATACAGAACTTTGACTTTTAATGATGCTTGATTGGAACTTCCCCGTCTTTGGTTAATTGCTAGCAAATTTTACACAAAATTACTTTTTCTTAACATAACAACTCCCAACAGATTACCCCTTAGCCACCAGCATGATGTTCTGAAACAGCTGGTAGACTTGGCTATGAATGAGTTGACTTGTGTTTGGCAATGCATGCCACCCGGATAGGTCCAGTTTTTTTGTTTGTTTGTTTGTTTTTGTTTTTGCTTTTTGTTTTTATGAGACAGGGTTTCTCTGTATTGTTTTGGAGGCTGTCTGCCCAGCCCGGCCTCGAACTCACAGAGATCCGCCCGCCTCTGCCTCCGGAGTGCTGGGAATAAAAGCGTGCGCCACCACCGCCTGGCCATGGATAGGTCCAGTTTTGACTAAGGCTAGCTGATGCTCAGGGTCTTAATGCCTTCAAATGAGGCTCCCTTCTTTCAGATGAAGTGCTCCACTTAGGACCAAACCTAGACCTGCTAGAAATGGCATTCTACAAACTAGAGTCTTGGGACTTTTTGATCCACTGTGGAATCAAAGGTGGGTCTTTGATCCAGGTGGGTCTTGAATTGGTTTTCTGCATTGAATAAAGTAGCTCAGGTGTTTGAACACTTGAATTTCCATCCACCAATACAGACTGCACCAAGCTCTTGCTCTCCCTCTCAGAACTGTCTCTCAAATGCTTTCCAAGGGTGTAGTGCAGCGCTATTGGCTGACGCTGGATGACAGCTAGTTTCTCCCGGCATCCCTCAGTCCCACCCCTACCCTAAACTTCTCCAGCCCAGGGGACTGGGCTAGGCTATCCTCCTCCAGCTGCTTTTCGCTGTATAACTCAGCTGTTTTGGCTACGCCAGCTCTTTTGACTCAGCTGTTTTGGCTACGCCAGCTCTTTTGACTCAGCCGTTTCGGCTATGCCAGCTCTTTTGACCTCTTGGTCTCCTGGTCTTCTATCTGTCCCGTCTCCTCAGATGGCTCTCTGCTCAGCTTGCCAGTCATGTCCATTCTGGACTGTCCCAGTTGTCCCTGTCTCTGACTGTCCTCCTCATATCTACAGTAAACCTTCTCCACCATACCTAGGAGCGGCTGTATCCTCCTTTTATTTCTTTTTCTTTTCTTTTCATTTTTTCCCCCCGGGACAGGGTTTCTCTGTTGCTTTGGAGGCTGTCCTGGAACTAGCTCTGTAGACCAGGCTGGTCTTGAACTCACAGAGATCCTCCTGCCTCTGTCTCCCCACCCAGTGCTGGAATTAAAGGCGTGCACCACCACTGCCTGGCTCTCTCTCTCTCTCTCTCTCTCTCTCTCTCTCTCTCTCTCTCTCTCTCTCTCTCTCTCTCTCTCTCTCTCTCTCTCTCTCTCTCTCTTCCATTCGGCACTCATTATGGAGGCCAAGGCAGTAGAAGGTGATTTAGAAGCCAACCTAGGCTATAGGCTATGTAGCCAGTCCCTATCTTAGAAAAGAAAAAAAAATAAAGAACCAAAACCTGTCTCTTGCCTCCAAGTCAAAGGCAATGCATCAGAAGACCAATAAGGTGTGTTAAAATTCTGAAACTGTTCTAACTTATCTGCTGGCTTCCTGCTAGATGGCAGTGTCTAAATAGTGAATCAAAGACTCCGTTGTTACTGTGTTATTGCTCATCTTTCTTTCTTCCAGGACAAAAGTAAAGAAGTTTTCAAGTTTGTTCTTAGAAACAACTCAGAAACCCCTCCTTAGGATGATACCTAGGAGATAAGGGAAAAGATTATAATTTGGCCAGTGTTACATGTATGCACAAATATGGTATAGTACAAAAACCTTTCCAGCCTGTATTTAAGTGCCTTTATACTTATGTAAAATTGATTTCCCCAACAAATGTAGCTCCCGATTCCGCTCGAATCATTTTACACCAAACACCCTCTCCCCCAGGCTCATGTTTGCCCACTTGGTCCTCTTGGTGGTGGTGTTTTGGAAGGTTGTAAAGCCTTTAGGAGGTGTGGCTTGGGTGATGGAAGGAGGTGACTAGGGATGGGCTTTGAAGGTGGTATTAGCCACTGGTTCTGATTTGTGGGAACACCCACCACCTGGTGCTCCCACCACTGTGGAGGGAGCCATTTTGTCCATCATCCTTCTCCAACAGGATAAACTGAAATCCTTTGAAATGAAAAGGCAAAGTGAGCTCTTCCTCTTGTAAATTTGTTTGTTTGTTTTCTTACAGTGACAACAATTAATGAATATAGATAGTATTCTTGAAATGGGTTTTGGAAAAAGTAAATGTTAAGTTTATTTTAATTTACATGCTTTCTAAATACTTTTTAAAAAGGGTTATGCAAAATCTTGGTTTTTAGAAAGAAGTGCTGAACTACTAAAAAAGGAAAATGGCACTGGGCTCTGTGGTGCATGCCTTTAGTCCTAGCACTCTGGAGGCAGAGTCAGCCAGAACTGTGAGTTCTAGCCCAGGCTGGTCTACAGAGCTGAGTTCCAGGACAGCCAGAGCTACACAAAAAAAACCCTGTCTGCAAAACAAGACAGGAGAAAACAAAACCCACAAAAATCAAACAAATAATAATAATAATAAAACCCAAAACAAAAAGGAAAACGGGGCTAATCATATAGCTCATTGGTAGATCATCTGCCTATTTAGTGTGTGGGAAGCCCTTAGTTCAGTCTGTAGCATCACCCTCTCCTCCCCCAAAAAACTCTTGGGGGATGTCTAGGACAATATAAGAGGTACTGGTGTTCGAAGTTGGCTCAGCAGTACAGAAAAGGCAAGTTACATTCTGGGAGCATCAGGAACACAGACCTCGAGGAAGAGATCAGGAAAGGGAGCTAGAGAAATAGAGTGGGGTACACATCCGTGTTCTTTTTCAGAGTTAGGGATGGGGCACAGGGCCTGTGTATGGGAGGCAGGGGCTCTCTACCCCTGAGCTACAGCCCCATACCCGGGCCTCTTTTTAAGCTAACTCATAGAACCTTTGCAAAGGCACGCACAGACTTCAGTCAGAGGCAAGACACTGTTTTCCTTCTGGATATTAACTTATACCTACCTGAGTGGAGAATCCAGGGGGATGGGATTGGGAAGAACACCACTTTGGGGGCTTTGAGGGCAACCACCACAGTGATAAATGAGGAGTCGTGATGTGGCATGATTGAAAGGAGGCAGTAAAAAATGCTCGAAAATGTGACACATTCCTGCCAGCCTACCGTGTCATGTCTAAGGGCATCCACAGTTTAAGGGGTATACTGGAAAGTTCCGTTTGTTTGTGATATGAGAGACCCTTCTGTATGCTGCAAATATGGGCTGCTTTTATTGGTTGATGAGACAAGGTTTCTCTGTGTTGCTCTGTCTGTTCTGGAACCTGCTCTGCAGACCAGGCTGGCCTCAAGCCTTCCGCCTCTGCCTAGGAGGGCTGGGATTAAAGGCATGCACCACCACATGGAGATTTATGCAGTGTAAAGGGACAATGTCTTGGGAGAACCTAGCCTGTTTGAGAAATCAGGCATTACTGTGAGTAATTTAGGTTTGATGATTAGATTCTTCTGAAACCCCTCCCTGGTGTTACCTTTAGTCCAGTAAAAACAATTGCTATCAATTATCCAGTTGCTAATGAAGAACCAATCAGAAGACAGTTGCTATTGATAATGGAGAACCAATCAGAAGAGTCACTTTAGAGCTGTCTGTCTTCAGCCCCATTTCCTTCCTGCCAGTGGAGAGGAGGAGGAGGAGGAGGAGGAGGAGGAGGAGGAAGGAGGAGGAGGAGGAGGAGGAGGAAGGAGGAGGAGGAGGAGAACGAGAACACATTGAGGATCAGGATTTCTCATGGTGAATTTTGATTGTGAGAATCCTGGCAGCATGGCTGGAAATGTCAGGAGGGTGTTTCCAGAAAGGCTGAGTTGAGAAGGGAAGGTTTGCTCTGAACGAGGGCCACAGCATTCTGCGTGCTGGATAAAAGGGAGGAAGTGACCACGGGCTGTCATTCATCCCTGTTTCTTGACTGTGAACACAATAGGAGCAGCCACCTCACGCTGCTCCTACTATGTCTGCCTGGTTATGATGGGCTGTACAGTCACACCGTGAGCTAAACCCAATCATCCCATAAATTGCTTTTGCCACATTCTTTGTTACGTTGGTGGCGCACGCCTTTAATCCCAGCATTCGGGAGGCACAGGCAGGTGGATCTCTGTGAGTTTGAGACCAGCCTGGTCTATAAGAGCTAGTGACAGGACAGCCTCCAAAGCCACAGAGAAACCCTGCCTCGAAAAACCGAGAGAGAGAGAGAGAGAGAGAGAGAGAGAGAGAGAGAGAGAGAGAGAGAGAGAGAGAGAGAGAGAGAGAGAGAGAGAAGTCGCTATTCCAGAGAGACAACCCAGTGTGTCAAGCATACCAGTGACCCCGGTTTATCACCATCATCAGGGACATGGCAGAGATCATCTCTTGGTTCAACTGCTGGCCATCTACAGGCAAAATTTGAAATTAGACACCACAATCTGCTAACTTTCTTTGAGATACTCAATCTTAACTTCTGTAGAAGAAGAGAGGAATTATCCTAAGATGATGGTGTTGTTGGTTTTGGTAGGAGAGAACTTATAGATGCTCCATGAATTCAGACCCTTTCTACACAGCAGATGGGCAACCCTGGATAGTGTACACCAGGCATGCAATGCATTGCAGAAGCTCAGATCTCAGAGTCAGGAGTTGGTTAGTCAGAGACCATTTCAGACGTTATATACCACGGCCTATAAGCAGATAGAGTCCTCTGTCCTGGGAAAGAATATTATGGGGCATTGTCCTGAAGGACTCAGGCTCACCCTGCAGGCAATGGTGAAACAGAAACGGGGGAGCCTCCCCATCTTGGAGTGCCATTACATTGGACTTGAGGGCTTTCCTGGTACTCTGTAGGTCCACCTGTCCTCACCAGTTGGAGGGCTTCTGACTTGATGACATGCTCCTGGCTAATTAACTGATGTGGGTTAGATTGAGTGCTACTGTTGTAAATGTACCCTAAGGCCTGGCGGGTTGCTGCAGAGTGTAATTCACATGCTGGAGTCTGCTCTTCAGTGGTGAATATTTAATCACAGCCAGCTTTCATAAACTTACTACACTCTGGCTTTCATAGTAACCTAACTTGAGGTTCCTATATGCAAGGGCATTTGTACTCTTGACTTGTTCCTTGGTAGTTGATTGGCTGACCAAATATTGCAAAAAGTCCTGAGACATTAGCTAGAAATGTATCATACTAGCTTCAGAATTTCTCTCCTCCTTCTGTTTTCCTTTCCTCTAGACCCTTTCTGTCCTAAAGCCGCTACTGTTTCTTTCTGCTGATCTTGGAGTCAGGTGACCTGATTTCTAGACCTATTTCTAAAAAATATCTCAGGCCAATTGCTTAAATTTAGTAAGGCTTAGTTTCATTTTTGTATACAACTGGAATGAATAATACCTATCTTGTCTATTTTTCCGAAGTGGTTTTAAATAATATTAAATGAAGTGATAGATTTAAAACTCGTTGGAAAACGTTACAATCTTAAATTTACTTTTAGTGATTCATTTGCTGGTACATTTGATTGGTGTGGGGTGAATGTGGTGTCCTGTGCCAGTGAGCACATGTGGAGGTCAGAGGGAAGCGTTCTGAAAGTTGTTTCTAGTCTTGCACCACGAGTTCAGGGATAGAATGTAGGTTGGTGGCTTTGCATGATAAGTGATTTTCCCCACTGAGCCATCTTGCTGGTCTGAAAGTGATGTAGTTTTATTCCCATCTAAGATGTTCATATTTCACTACCTAATCTGGGTCATATTAATTATAGCTATGGTAAATTGCTTTTGCATATACAATGAAAATTTAATAATCTTTCTGTCGTGTAAGGGAAAGGATGAAGTTTATTACTTACAGTGAATACACCGAGGATAAGAAATACTTAGTCATTTCCCCAAATTTATATGGCTTGAATGCTAGAACCTGAGAGTGGAATTCGCAGTGCTAGGGTCCACGCTTTGTGTAGCTGATGTGCACTGAGTAGAACGGGGCAGGGAGCCTTTGAGGGTCCTGGAGCCTTTGGTCCCTCCCTCTGGGACCCACCAGATGACAGCTGCTCTGCACAGGCTTGTTTGTTCTCTGTGTGCCCACCGTTTACTGTGGGTGGTGGGGTCTTGGGGTTAACAACTAGGAAAGAATTCCTGGATTTCAGAGCAGAACTGGCCAAAGTACTTACCAAAGTTATGATTTTATAAACTAATTAAGTATTTTAAGATTATAATATGATTACATGGGTACATGATTACATTATTTCTCCCCCTCTCTTTCATCCTTCCAACCCCTTTCATGTATCCCCTTGCTCCCTCTCAAGCTCATGGCCTCCTTTTTAAAAATATGCTGTTAAATACATGCACAGATACACACACACACACACACACACACACACACACACACACACACGAGTTCACAGACAGACACACAGCAAGCACAAAAACACATGAAAAACGACAGTCACGAGAGAGGAGCATGCTGTTAAGATACAGGCCTTTCCTCCTGACCCCTGTTCCAACATCATATTTCTAGTTAATTTCTAGTTCTGCATCCTGGAGACACGTGACATCCTGTGTCCTCCAATCTTGCTTCAGTTTTGCCTCCATAGGGCTTTGCCCAGGATGTCCAAGTTATGACATTTTAGGAATAAAAAAACATTTATTGTGACCATTCTGTGCCTTTTAAGAGTTTTTTTCTCTCTCCTGAAAAGACTGGGAAGGTAGCTCAGTTGATGTGCCGCTCACCTCAAATACACAAGGCCCTGGGTTTCATTCTTAATATCCCATAAATCTGGGCATGTTGGTAGATGCCTATAACCCCAGCATTTAGGAGGCACGGTCAGGGTTGGGGTATGGCTCAGAGTTCAGGGCTGTCTTTGGCCACAACAGTAAGTTTGAGGCCAATCTGACTTCATGAGGACCTGTTTCAAAAACACCAGAAAGAGCAGCCAGTTCATTACATGAAGATCTTTCCCGAAGCTTCCAGAACTTTATATTGCCCACACAACCTATTGCTTTGTTGTGCTTTCCACAAAAGACTCAGCAGATAATCCAGTAAACACAATTCCTCCATGGGCTCGTTGGATTCTTCAGTTGATCACTATCCCATCTTTAACCAAAACCTGAACCTTTATTATTTTCTCCCCTAGCCTTTTTGGAAGTGCGCGTGTGGTCTAGTTCTTTATTCCTTTGAGACTTGTTAGGAAGTGACATCTTCTGAGTAACCCTGGAATCCAGTCTTCTAATGGCAGAGAAATTAGGGAGAGATTCAAGACACGGGGGTTGATGGGGCTGTGTGGCCTTGAGCAAGTTAGTCAACCATTCTGGTCCCAGTTGATGTCTTTCTGAGTGAGGTGTTAGGTATATGCATGATTAGGTATTAGGAATCGTGAGGTATATGACCTAAAAGGTTCCTTTTAGTTTAAGACTTCTGTGCTTTTACACAGTAAGCCTATGTCTATCAGCTCTGCACTGTGGCTAAAAGATTATTCATTCGTTGCAGTGTTTTTGGATGGTGCTGTGTCTGAGGACTCCAGCTGATCTGATGATAGCCTAAGAAGACTACATGCTGTTCCCTCCGAGCACCAAGCGAGGCTCATTCGGAACCTTGGATCTCAGTCCTTCATGGAGACCAGCTCCCAGCAGGAAATTGGCATCCAGATGGTTCCTCCATGTGAAGTTGTCTCTGGCTGTGGGCTGACTGGAGGACACCTGGTGGCCAGGCCAGCCTTTTCTCAGTCATCCAGGACAGGGCAGCATGGTGCGGATTCAAAGGAGGAAGCTTCTGGCATCTTGCCTGTGCATGACAGCTACTGTCTTTCTGATGGTCACACTGCAGGTACTGGGATTCTGGGCTGTGTAGATCAGATTCATTGCTAGGCCCTCACCACCTCCTTCCTCCCCAGATCCCTTTCCTCAGAGAACTCTGAGTAATTGACCAGCATGATCTGGATGATACTTCTGCATCTGATTCCAAGTGTCAGGCTTAAAGGAAGGAGTCACCATGCCCATTTGGGAGAACATTTTCTTTTTAGCATTGTCTCATGTAAATTTAACACATATTCAGGATAACCTTGAGCATATGATCTTTCTGCCTCTAACCTCCCAAGTATTGTGACTATGGTCGTGTTACCACGTTTAGCCATTTAAAATTTTTATTTAAAAATTTCCCTCATATAGTATATTTTGATCATGTTTTTCCTCTCCTCTGACTCCTCTCCAATCCTCCCGCCTCCCTACCCATCCAACCTTATGTTCTCTCTCTGAAAAAAAAAGCATGAAAACACAAAAACTAAAATCAAAACAAACAAAAATAAGACAAAGAATGCCAAGATGAAACACAAAGCCCACAGAAAAAATGGAGCTCTTTTTGTGTTGGCATGGAGCCTGCCATGGAATGTGGTTGATACACCAGTGATAATCCACTGGAGAAAACCGATTGTCCCATTGCCGGCTTGTATCAGTTCTAGATAGCTTCTTGGATAGGGATGGGAGCCAGTGTCCAGTTTCCTGTTTCAGTGCTGGGACACCATCCACTTGAACCTGTGCAGGTCCTAGGCATGCTGCCATGGTCTCTGTGAGTTCATATGTGCATCAGTATTGTTTTGTCTGGGAGACACTGTTTGCTTGGATTCACCCATTACCTATGGCTCTTATAGTCTTTCTGCCTCCCCTTCCATGATGATCCTGATCCCCTAGGAGAGAAGTTTAATGAAGACATCCCATTAGAACTCCTTGCACATTGCCCAGTTGTGGGTCTCTGCGATGCTTCCCGTAGACCGCAGGAAGAAGCTTCTCTAGTCTGGGCTGAGTGAGGCACTGATCTGTTGGTATAACAGAGTGTCATTAGAACAACAGCCTTTGTAGTTTTCCTCGTAGGCCCATGTCTTGTCCCGTCTGATGTCCAGTTCTATGTCATGGAGTGGCACTTAAATCCAAGCAACAAGTGACTGGTTACTCCCGTAACGCTCGCGCCACTGTTGTAGCGTTATATCATGCAGGTAGGGAGCTGTTGTAGGTTGCAGGGTTCGTAGCTGGCTGATCTTGATCATTACCTTTCTCCTCTGATAGTGTGCAGAGGACCTTCCACCACTGTGAATGCTAGTCAATAGGGGTGAAGCTTTCTAGGTGATCACCAGATGGATGTCTCCGTGTTCAGTGACATCAGTAACTAGTACTTTCAGCAATAGGGCCTCACCATCAGTTTGTGGAGAGCAGCCAGTAGTAGCCTTGATAATAGCCTGGGGACAACTCTGTACAGCCTTGTCCTCTCTGCCTTTGTGGGTATCAGAGACCAGGGACATCCAAGACCGCAGTTGTCAGTCGTCAAGTCAGGAACCCAGTAGAGTCCCAGTAGCAGCTCAGGCCCAGACGTCACATTGGCCCTGCGTGGCAATCAAGCCATTCACCTCAGCCTGCTCCATTTCTCTATCTCCTCTTCAGATATGCCTCTGTCCAGAGGATATGAACCATCCTGTTTGTCTGCTGTCTGTCTATGCTACCCCGCCCAATACCATACCTATGCTCACTCTAATAGTTCCCATCTGGCTGGTGCTGCAAGGTGCCAGGTGGACCCATGTTTTCTCCCCAGAGCCCGGGGAAGACAGCTCCAGAGCTGTGTGGGTTCCACACAGTTTGCCGTGGTGCTAGACTGGGGCATGTTTCCTCGTCACAAAGAGATCACTATAGTGCCCAACCACCTGGTGCAGGCAGCCTCTTGGTTGGTGCATTTGGTTGAGTTCAACTGACCCCTACTGCATGGCATGGGATAGGTATGCTACTGGAGTCTGCTGGTGGGCTGGGGTTAGAATCCCCCAGTATGTTTTAATAACATATATAGATCATTTTTCTTTTTGAGATTGTGTTGATCTGTCTCTGTCCCTGTCCCTGTCCCTCCTGCCTGGTCTATCTTCAAACTCACTGTCCTCCTGTTCTAGAGCCCCTTGTCCTGAATGCTGGAATTGTGAGTATGCTCCCTACACCAACCAGATAGACTTCAAATGATTTATTTAGTGTGTGTGTGTGTGTGTGTGTGTGTTTGTGTTTGTGTTTGTGTGTCTGTCTGTCTGTGCAAGTGTGCCACATTTGTGTGGGTGCCTACAGAAATTAAAAGCGGGTTTCAGATCTTATAGAACTATAGTTACAGGCAGTTTGGACCTAGGAACCAAACTCAGGTCTTCTAGAAGAGCAGTATGTGTACTCAGTTACTGAGCTGTCCCTCCAGCCTGGAACCTTTAAAGAACATAACCACATGACTGCTGTCTCACCTGCTGCAGTGAACAGTTATCTTTCAGTTCCCTCTATAGTAGACATGCTAGATTTCTCCCAGAGAAAAGCCCTTTTCCAGTGAGATTGTGAATCTGCAGTGTGCTAGGCTTTCTTTCAGGCCACCAACCAGACCATGACAGGGAGACTTACTGTTAGCTCTGAATGCTCAGCTTAACCCGTTTCTCTTCATCTATGCTTTGTCTTGGGGCCCTCTCTCCCTCCCCTTTTCTTATGTTGTACTCCATCTAGCTGGCTAGCAGCTGGCTGGCCTTGGGTGTCTCCCTTCTTTTATACCTCTTTCTCTCCTCCTCCTCCTCTCCCATCCCCCTCTCCGGTCATTTAGCTCTTTATTATACCAATCAGGTGCCTTAGGCAGGAAAGGTGAAACAAATGTAACACATCTTTCCACAGTGTAGAGAGAAGCTTTTTCTTTGTCAGCTGCTTTGGTTTTTCCTCACCAGTTGCCTGGGCTCTACGGTGTTGTAGTCCCCAAGTAACACACAAGATGCTGTATTAATTATGAAGCTGTTGGCCTTGCTTGTTTCTTACTGGCTAGCTCTGACTTGAGTATTTACCCCACAACTGCCATTCTAACTATTTCTCTTACCGGACAGACATTACTTCTCTGGCGGGCTACATGATGACTCCCTGTGTTTCTCCTACCCAGAATCTTCCTGGACTCCTAGTCCCACCTATCTTGCTTCCCTATTGGCCAACAGTGCTTCAACTGCCATTCTAACTATTTCTCTTACCGGACAGACATATTACTTCTCTGGCGGGCTACATGATGACTCCCTGTGTTTCTCCTACCCAGAATCCTCCTGGACTCCTAGTCCCACCTATCTTGCTTCCCTATTGGCCAGCAGTGCTTTATTGACATATACTCAGGACTTCCCCATCACCACAGCTAAAGTAATAGTCCACAGCAGAAACAAATGTAACCCATGTTTGTCTACTTAAAATAGTATTCTACAACATTGCACTAAACACATCCCCATACACTGCATTAGGCTGGCAAATCTCAAGTTTTGCATTTGTATTTTATTTTGTTTTTGTCTGGGAGGTTTCTTCCACATTTTATTCCATGGCTTGGAAATGTTGAAGAAACTGGTTTATTTGTCCTTAGGATTGTGGGTTTCACCGATCTTATCCGTAAGGTTTTGCTTCATGTCTTCCTTTTTCTCATATTTCCTACAACTAGGGATAAATACATATTAAGAGCAGAAACAGCTCTTCTTAAAACTCTTCTTAAAACTGCCTCTATTATTTATAAATGAACTTACACTTCACACAGGAGACGTGGGTGAGACATGTGGAACAAATTTTGTATTGGAGTTCCATCTCAGGGAGTTTTGACAGCCTTTTTCTTTAAGTTACTGGCTGTACATTAGTAAGAAGGAAGGTCAGATGATGAGAGGGCCTGGAGCTGTAAATGAACTTGCTCCCGTCAAGCTTTTGGGGAAGAGCCACATTATTATATTATAAAAACGCCGAGGAAGCTCTTGGCAAGGGCTGACTTGGTGTGGGTTGCTTCAAGCTAATGTATTTTTTTATTCTTCTGGAATAGCACTTGGCTTTCATAGAGAAGGTCTTAACATCTTAGTTGGCATGGGTACTTTTGAGACTATAGTCGAAGTTTTACCCTTCCCTTAGGGAGTTATGGACTCCAGGTGATGCATGGTGGTCAGTGGCCCTTTTCTCACACCAGGAATAGCAAGCCCATTAGAAAGGAGCTGCTCTTGGCTGCTTATAGAGGACTTAGTACCATTATAATGGAACTTTGCTACCTTAGGAGTGGGTTGCTGGTAAAAAGATGTTTCTCTCTTTCCTATTTTGGGACAAGGTCTCACTATGTTGACCCTGAACTTGGTATTTTACTGCCTCAGCCTCTTAAGCACTAGGATTGCATGTATATGCTACCACCCTGACTCTAAAATAGTCTCTTTGGTGGATAGCCTGTGTCTGGATGAAGCCCATGGCTTTGCGTGCAGTGGGCAAGCCTACTGGCACTGAGCCACACCCCAGCTCTTCCTGTCCCTTTCCTGCTCTTGGACTCCAGAACTGTGAAAAGCACATTAGAGATTATCAGCCTCGGGTATTCTCTTATAGCAGCACCCCGTGGAACAAGGCAGGAGATTGTCCAGAATTAGTCACAGAAGTTGAAGGCAATCCCACAAGTCATTAAAAGCAGAGAACCCTTGTTGGATGCCGTCACAGAGAGGGGCAGGGTCAGGAGTAAGAGAAGTGGTGTTGATAGATCTAAACATTGAAAGCAGGTTATAAGTCAAATAAACTTTGTGAACTATTCCTGAAAGATAGAAAAAGCAAGAGGGTGGGCTGTCCCTCGGGGTCTGTAGAAGAGTGTCGATATGCTGGTCCTTTGATTTTAGACTGTCCACCCATGTCTAGCTCCTGACCTCCACAACTGTATGGTTTAAAGTGTTATTTTAAAGAGGTTTGGGTATGTTGTTATAGAAGACTGACAGGAAGCTAAATCCATCAAGAGAATGGGAGTTGTGCCAAAGGAAAACAGATCCTGATAATGGTTATCTTCACTTTCAGGTTGTGGTCGAGCTTGGAAAATTTGAAAGGAAGAAGCTTAAAAATGCCAATTTGCAAGATGGACATAAAAATGTTGAGGAAGAGCCTAACCATCTTAACCCATTTCCTGAAAAGGAAGCACTAGCCTTGGGTGTGAAGAATGCGATGGACATTGGGAGCTACCCGGTTGTGCTGTGGTGGTCCCCCCTGACTGGAGAGACGGGCAGGCTCGGCCAGTGTGGAGCAGATGCTTGCTTCTTCACCATCAACCGGACCTTCCAGCATCATCCCATGACCAAGGCCTTCCTCTTCTATGGTGAGCTGGGCTTCCCCTTCCTCCTTTCATTTGTTAATGCCTTGTTCAAAGCCGAGTTACTGCTCACCTTGAGAGGCCAGAGCTCTCTGAACATGTGTTGGGACCACAGTGTTGGCTGTGTGGAAGGCCTGTGGCATTTAGCAAATGTCACCAAACAATCCTGGCCAACTGTGTTGGTTTGAATGAGAATGGCCCCTATAGGCTCATGTGTTTGAATGAGTGGTCTCAGTTGGTGGACTAGTTTAGGAAGGTTTAGGAGGTGTGATCGTTCATAGAGGAGGCTTGTCATTCGGGGTGCGCTTTGAGGTTTCAAAAGCAGGATATAGGCTCTTAGCTACCGCTCCAGCACCATGACTACCAGCCTGCCTGCCACTGTACTTTCCACAGTGATGATCATGGACTCACGCTCTGAAACTGTAAGCCATCTCCCAATTAAACGCTGCCTTTTATAAAATGCCTTGGTATAGTTGGTTGTTCTTACTCTCTACTCTTTGGGGAGCCTGCCACCCAGCTCCCAAATAAACATACACAGAGACCCATTATTGCTTATGAGTGCCCAGCCTTAGCTTGGCTTGTTTCTTGCCAGCTTTTCTTAACTTTATATTATCTCATCTACCTTTTGTCTCTGGGCTTTTCCTTTCTCTATTTCTGTGTCTTTTCTTCCCTTCTTATTCCATGTCTGGCTGTGTGACTGGGTGGCTGGCCTCTTCTTTTCTTGCTTCTCCGTCACTTTCTCTCCAGATTTCCCCTCCTGGTTATTCTCTCTGCCTGCCAGCCCCGCCTATCCTTTCTCCTGCCTTGCTATTGGTCCTTTAGCTCTTCATTAGACCAATCAGGTGTTGTAGACAGGCAAAGTAACACAGCTTCACAGAGTTAAGCAAATGCACCATAAAATAATGTAACGCATCTTTGCATCATTAGACAAATGTTCCACAGCATAAACAAATGTAACACATATTAAAATAATAGTCCACAAAATTGTTGGAAGTCAAAAAGCTTGGACTTTGGAGCATATTTGGATCTTGGCTTTTTGGATTAAGGATGCTCAACCAGTATTTAACAATCCCAACCTGGCTGATTGCTTCTTTGCTACATGTGGATGTGGGTCAGAGTGAGGGAGGTCTGGCCCTTCAGGGCCAGGCTGCAGTTTGCCTGTTCTGAGAAATCAAAGGCCACAGAACAGTACTGAGTGCTATTTCTGAACATCATCTAATTGCAGATTACATTGAAATTGTGATATAACATAGATATGAAACTTATTTTTAAAAACCCTTCTAAAATCCAAATGTTCTGAATTCAGAAACTCATGTTGTATATGTGTTGATGAGGGACTGTGATCCGCTATTTGTGTTGTGATTTAATATGAAGCAAGAGTTAAATACTGAGTTTAATTAATTTCCTTTCCTGTTTTTGCCTTTTTGAGACAGAGTTTCATGATGTGGCCCAGGCTGGCCTCAAAATTTTTGCTCTTCCTACTTCAGTTTCTTGCCTTTTGGGGTTGCAGCCATGAATCAAAACATTTGGTTTAATTTCTGTCATTTTTAACAACACCATACCAGTCTTCCAAACTTGATAAAGAAAACATCATGATTAGAACTGTATGATTCTGTAGTGTGTGTGTTGAAAATATGTGTGCATGCTTATGTGGGCATGTGTACATGCATGTTCATGTCTATGTGGGTATATGTATGTGTGTGCATGTACCTCTGCATGGAGAGGCCAGACGTCAACCTTAGATGTCATTCCTCAGGAACCATCCACCTTGAGTTTTGTGTCAAGGTCTTTCTCTGGGACCCAGGACTTACCAGTTGGGCCAAGGTGTCTGGGCGGTGAGCCTGGATCTTTTTGTCTCTGTCTCTGGGTTACAAGTGTGGGCCACCATATCTGTCTTTTTCATGTGGGCACTGCGGATTGACCTCAGGTCCTTTTTCATATGGGCACTGCGGATTGACCTCAGGTCCTTTTTCATATGGGCACTGCGGATTGACCTCAGGTCCTTTTGCTTTGGGGTTGGCCCTTTACTGATTGCTCCATCTCCTCAGCTACCAAACCGAATCTTTATTTACTTATTTCTACTGAGGACTGAACCCGGAGCCTCATATATGCTCAGTAAGTGCTTTGTCACTGACTTCTGTCCTCTGCCTATAATTTTTGAAGCATAAAGAAAATACTGAGTATTGTGGATGCTATTAGAAACCTCTAATAAACATTTATTTAAACACACCAGTGCCTTCTGCCCAGGGAAACAAGTTGAGCACCTATGTCTTCCAACACACACACACACACACACACACACACACACACACACACACACACACCCCATTGTGCATAGTGAGCTTTTACCTCCCTCTCCCCTCTCAGGCAGTATATGGAATCTTCCTGTTTTTATCAGTTAAAATGTAGTAATGATTGCTTTTTCGGGTGACTGTTTCCTCCCATCGTGGTAGGAACTCAAATGACTGTGGCTGGTAATGCAGGACTCTGCTTGGTGACTGTCCAGGACTGCAGATCTCTCTGCCTCACCCTTAATTTTCTAGTCAGACTGGGACTTGTGGTTTTTCAGAGGCGGCTCCATCTTTATCCAGCTTCCTGGCATGCTAACAGTATGCCCCAGCTGTGACTGTCATCATACCTTAGATCTCTAACTTCCTGATACTCTCATTGAAAACCAAGTGCTAGGCGCTTGCTGTTTTTGTTAGTGTGCCGTTCAAGGCTCCATGGGTCTATTTCAGACTTTCACGCTTAATCATTGGTTCTACTAGCTAAACCTTGCGTGTGAAGGTGAGACTGAACAGCAATTGTCTTGGACAAACCTCACAAATGTTCTTGGATCGGCATCATCGTTTATTCAGTCTTTGTGTCCTAAAGCATTTGTCTGTATTTCTCTTGTCAGAAAAGTCTAGTGCATAGCTTGTATTTGGTTGGCAGTGTAGACAAACAGTAGGTTTTTTTTTTGTTTGTGTTTTTTTAGTAGTTTTGATATTACCCGGTACACACAAGGCTGGTTCGTGGTCCCTTAGAGCAGTGGTTCTCAACCTGTGGGTCTCAACCCCGCTGTGGGTTGAATGACTCTTTCACAGACGTCACCTAAGACCATCCTGCATACCACACACTTACAGTAGCAAAATTACAGTTACTAAGTGGTAACAAAAATAATTTTATGGTTGGCGGCCACCGTAATATGAAGAACTGTATTAAAGGCTTGCAGCATTAGGAAGGTTGAGGACCACTGTGTTAGAGGACTCTCCAAAGGCGGGAGAGAGCATCCAAAAATGTTTTCTGAGACTTCTTTCATGAAATAGGAGAGGGGCCAGGGCAGCTCAGTGGGAGAGCATGTGCTTTGTGTATGTGAAACTCTGTGCATGCAATTCCCAGAAGAGAAACAACACACCCAGATAAAGTAGGAGCCCTTGAGGGATTATATTAGGGTTCCTATTGCTGTGAAAGACACCATGACTCTGCAACTCTTATATTGGAAAGCATTTAATTGGGGCTGGCTTACAGTTTCAGAGGTTTAGTCCATTATCATCATGGTGAGAAGCATGGTGGCATACAGTCAGACGTAGTGCTGGAGAAGGTGCTACAAGTTCTATATCGTGATCTGCGGGCAGCAGGAAGAGACTGTGAGCCACTAGGCAGGCTTGAGCTTCTGAGACCTCAAAGCTCCACAGTGATGTATTTCTTCCAACAAGGCCACACCTACTCCAACAAGACCACACCTCCTAATAGTGCCACTCCCTTGGGGCCTGAGCATTCAAACACACGAGTCTATTGGGGGCCATTCCTATTCAAACCACCACATGGGGTATGGAGGAAGAAAATGGAGTGTATTTTCTGAGACGTACAAAGAAGAGGTCTAGATAAGGGAGAGACAGGATTGAAGGCTATAATGGGACCAAGCAAAGATGTTGGCAGAGATTTTATATCCAGTAGGAGGATGGGGGTGGGGGAATCACTGAAAGCTGAAATCCCTTGTAAGAGTCAGCTAAGAGGAAGGGATAGAGAAACCTCAGCTAAGGTCTGTGGGTGTGGCTCAGTGGTAGAGCTCTTGCTAACTTGAGTTCCTAGCTGCTCAAAAGCCAATCCGAGGACAACAGTTATTAACCAGCCCTGGTTCTTTGCCCCAGGGGATCTTCCTCCTCTGAATGCCCATCTACCAAGTACAGCGCTAAATTATGGCAAGGTAGACATAAAATAAAACACAGAAAAGATGGCTATAACTAATGAAGACTTAAGTAGACTCTCTGTTTCTATTCAAACGATTAGCTGTGTAATGTTTAATGTGTAGAAATCCAGCTGTGGAGCTCTGTTGAGATTTTTCAGTGATTCCCATCTCATTAAAATCTCAGGTCTTGGAGCTGGAGAGATGGCTTAGCAGTTAAGAACACAGCAGTCATTCTTGCAGCAGTCATTATCAGGGTTTATATGAGTATAACCCAAGATTACAGTTACAGCTCAGCTTGCAGTGAACTTAAAACTGCATCATGTCACTATGACACAGGGTTTTCTCTTGGATTGATCCGATTTCCCAGTGAGCATCTATGACCTAGTCAGCTTTAACTATCAGCTTGACATAGCCTAAGAGTCACTTGAGAAGGGTGTCTCAGTTGAGAGAGTGCCCAGATCAGAGTGGCCTTTGGGTATGTGTAAGGGGGATTATCTTGATGGTAGGGTCCTAATTGACGTAGGAGTGCCTAGCCTACTACGGGTAACACATTCTTTGGACAAGTGGTCCTGGTACACACAAAAAGTTAACCAGTAGCAGCAAGCAGCATTTACCCATGGTTTTGCTTCAAATTCCTGCTTGAGTTCTGACTCCTAAGTTCCCTCAACAATGGGCTGTAATTTGTAAGCTGAAACAAACCCTTTTCTTCTCTAAGCTGCTTTTTTTCAGAGTGGTGTGTGTGTGTGTGTGTGTGTGTGTGTGTGTGTGTGTGTGTGTGTAATCACGGCAATAGAAATCAGACTGGAAAAGGATCCTCAAAAGTAACATGAGAACA